GGGGGGCCAAGCCGCCAGGGAAATCCCTGTGGTACTGGTGCTCTGCATCGCTCGAAGAGGACGATCGCTGTGCCTGCTCACAGTGCGGAAACAGGGACTAGAGGACTAGAGAGGGAAGGCAGGCTGGGCTTGGATGCCAGCTGATCACTTAGCAACCAGGTAACTTAGGGAGGTCCTTCACCTGCCTCTGCCAGAACTATGATGGAACGCCCTGGCCTCCTTGACTCTGCAGCCTGGGAAGATCAAGAGCTCCCTTCAGAGAGGGGTCCTGGCATGTGTCTGGGGAGTAGGTCGTACCAGCATCCCTGTGGCTGGGTCCTTGCCAGAAGAGGTCCTGCCCCCCCAGGTCTGTTTTGGCAAACCCCACACCCCAGCACCATGGCATTGACCTTCTGGTACACATCCCTTGATGGGGCAGGGTGTATGGAAGTAGTTATGAGGGATGGGCCCCCGGCTAGATCCCAGAGCAGCTGGGGTAAACTCACTGTGGGACTTCGGGTTTCCAGGTGTTTCTGTGCCAGGTGCTGGGTTAGGCCTCTCGTACATGACACCTGTCCCCGAGAGTCACAGCAGCTGCACTGATGTTGGTTACTGAATAATAACATGAGTGGTGACCAAAGGTAGATGCATCGGAGAGCTGTGGGGTCCAATCCCAGCTTTACCACTTGTTCTTCTGTGTCGCCTTTGTCCTGATACCCTTATGTAGCTGCTATTATTATCTGGAAAAGACTATCTGCTTCCTAATGCATTGTAAAGCTCTAGGCCTAGAATAGCAGATACCTAATGAATGGTAGCCAATGAGCAAACATTAATTTTTCAGATGTGGAGCTGAAGCCCAGAGAGGTTAATTGACTTGTTTAGGGTCACACGGCTATTAAGTGCTGGCACTAGGATTCAGGCTCATCTGACTGCAGGTGTCATTCTTCTGCCTACCAGTCTTTACCAGAACCTGACAGTCAGTGTTTGGTTGCTTGAAGCTTAAGAGATGGGTCTGACCATGGGACCAGCAGTTAGCATAATGGCTGCGTCGCTGAACTCCCATATAGCCGACCGCAGTTTGAGTCCTGGACCCAGTGGCTTAAACTCACGCCAGGCACATGTGCATGCATGACCAAGATCCCAAGAAGCAGAATGAAGGAGAAGGGATTGTAGGGTGGCCATCCCCCCTATGGGGTCATTTCTCACTTTCTGTCTCTCTGTCTCTCTCTGTCTTTCTGGTGAGCACGTGCACCCTATGGCAAAAAAAATCTCTCCAAAAAAAAAAAAGAGAGAGAGATGGGTCTGACCAAGTGGCAAGTGATGGTGATGGGCTGGGCACCAAAAAAAAATGAAGTATGAAGTTTGGCGATATGGTTGCACCCCTACCCGATACGCAAATTACTTAGAAGAGAAGAAACAGGGATGGCGAATACCTATAGTATAGTCTACAGGTATTCTATAGTCTATAGTCTAGTAGGATGTAAGACTCAAGCTCAGGAGGTGGGTGAGGGGAGCACAAAGCTGGAAGCCTGGGCCAGCAGGTTG